GCCCCTACCTCACTTTTCCTCAAATAAATACTGTCTGGGAGGACACAGAGGACAGAGTAGGGTCCATCAGCTGAGCGACCACTGAGTGGCCTTGATTGCTTTCCCTTGGGTGCCACCACACCACGCTTAGGACTCAACTCCCAGAAGAGACGTGGGCCCTCGGGCCAGCCTGGCGTGGTCCCTGGCACCCAGGATGTGGCCGCCAGGGTGTAAGGGTCACAGCAGCCAAGCAAGAAGAGCCCATTTCTCTGACCCCTGTTCTGGGCTACTCCTTGTCACCATGAAGGAAATCTTCCCCACTTTTAGCCGGGCAAACAGCTGCCCACTGAACTCTTGCAAGCCCACAGCTTTAGAATACAAGGAAGGGGGGGGAACCACAAGGAACCCTCACCCCCATAAAAAATCAGCACTGAATACACCACCCCGTGGTCCCAGAGACATGAAGTGTGCTTGCCCACTGCAGCTGGGGTCACTGGCCTGGACTCGTGGAACCTCACCAGGGATCACGCAGGCTGCTGCTGTGAGAGCCAGGCCTCCCATCCCTCCCCCTCCTGGCCTCCGTGGTGAGTACTGCCCTCAGTTGGCTCTGCATTCAGGGCAGCGCTCTCCTGGGGGCTGAGGGGCTTCTCCCACCCTCTGACAGCTCTCACAGGCTGGTGATTCCCTCTTCTGGGGCCCTGAGGGCTCTGGGAAGCACCCTTGCTTGCTTCTGCTATGGTTCAGGCACCACGGATTTCCCTCATCACCTAGAGAGAGCGCTGCTTGAGCCCACCGGCCCTCCTTATCCACCTCGCACCTGTCCTCTACCTCACCAGGCTGTGAAAGGCTGAATAAGCTCCACCAGCTGTGGTCTGTGGGCCTACTTGGTGCACTGGAGCTTGTCCTAACGTCTGCAGCTGACTAGCCAATCAGATACTACTTCAGGGTGCTCTGGCTTCTCTAGACTCAGTGGAAAGTAGTGCATGCACAGAGGAGCCTTCACACTGGAGCTGCAAGGCAGCCGATTCTCACGCAGCCTGGCTAACAGACCTGACTCTGACTCCTCTGCGTCCCAGCTCAGGGCAGCCCTTGCTGCACACACAGCCTTTCCTTGTTTTTTGGTCTTTTTGAGACAGAGTTTTGCTACTAGGCAGTTCAGGCTGGCCTTGAGCTCCCTTTGTAGCCTAGGACATCCTTGAACTTGCAAAGATCCTCCTTGCAAAGAAACCTCTCAAGGGCTGGGATTACAGATGTGTGCCACCCTGCCCAGCCTGTTCCAGGCTGTCTGTAATCCGCTGCAGCTTTTATCAAAACATCCCCTGATAAAGCTGAGCTGAGAGAAGCTCTGGTTGCATTCCTTTCTGAGCCTTAGAATCTCCCTTAGGGGGCTGGTGAGATGGCTCAGTGGTCTAAAGCACCTATTTGAACAAGCTTAGCAAAGCA